CCTCGAGTTGCACTTTTGGAACCGAGGTGTCTAGTTCTGTGTTGAAATGCCACTGCTGATGTCAGACTCGGAGAGAGATGGGCATCCCTAGGACCCTGCAGCTGCTGGTTTCTCACTTCTAGAAATGTCTTGAAGGCTGAGTGTGTTTTAGAGAAATCACTTGAATATTGTCTACCCTGCATACTTCTCTTTCATTTTTTAAGAAAGGGGGGAAACAAAGGAGAGATGGGCCTGGGGTTAAAGCCTGAAGCTTGGAGGTAGCTACAAAGAGTCCACCTGGCCCTCTGCTCCTCTCAGTTATGGCCTCAGCTGGGCCAGTGCTGACTTGCACTGGCATAGAGAGGCTTAAACACCTAAAAATGAAAACACTATTTGCTCTTGCCTCAGCTTTCCTATGCACGTAGTGGACATTAGGATCAATTTTATACTCTGTTGAAGTACTTGAATAGGAGGCACTAGCTCACTTGTGTCAAGATTTGACTATGGCCTTTGCCCATAGTCACCTGCAAAGAGCTGGTGTGAGTTGCTTAGCACCACACAGAAATTAGAGCTTTGTTTTTCTGCATAATGTGTGATTCCTTGCATTCCTGAGCTGCTTAGTATAAAAATTAACAAAACGGACAAATGAAGCAGCATGTGGAGGAGATCAGAATGGGCCTCTGCTGATTCCTCAGCATAAACCAGCTCATCAGCCTTTGAAACCTGCTGCTAAAGTCTTCCCTGTAGAAGGACCTGTAGCAGAAGCTTTAGAGATAGCAAGGGAAAGTTATCAGCTTAGAAACTCCCATCGGCAGAAAAAGAGCAACACCAGGACCTTATCACAGGTGAGGGGATATATTTGTATGTGTGATGGCTACAGCTCTTCTGCCTGTAAACTCTCAGACACAAGGTTGTACGTGAAGCTGAGCGTGAAACTAGCTTTCCAGAGTGTACAACCTGGATTTTATTAATTAATATTTTGGGGGAGAAAAGCCATGGCTATTGCACATACAGTAAAACATAAGCCGGTGTTTTCATTTTGTTTATTTTGTACATTGCTACAGCCATTTACAAGGGGCTTTTTAAGTGATGCAGACTATTTTGTTTTCTTCTCCTTGTCTATGCTGTGGAGTTTAATACCACCTTTTTCTTCAGTTCATGTGCAGCACTGTGGATCTTGCCAGCTGCATGGCTGCAGAATACAACATCACCCCTGACCAGGTGGATATATGCCTTATCAGCAACCTAACTTCCAACTACAGCCTGGGCACCTTGCAGGGATTCTGTGACAGTCCTTTGCCCAACTGCAACTTTCCAGAGGTACTGCTTGAAAAAAAATGGGTTGCAGAGATTGATCTGAGAAGGGGCTATAAAACCCCTGGGATAAATCTCAATCTGTCTGATTTACAGGACTAACACAGGCTACTACGCACAAACTTAAGTGTCTGAAGTTGTTATCATGAGTCCACATTAATGTTTAAGTTCCTTCAGGGCTGCATAATCAGTAGGCTTTTATAACTGTTGGATCCTGCCTCTAGCAGAAGTGGCCTTACCCCATAAAGTCTTTAATCGCATGCAAGTAATTTCAAAGGAGTTTGTGGGTGCTCAGTGTTACTTGAAAATCAGCTCACTAGAAATCAATGTCTAGTCACTGATTTAACCCTTCTCTCCATTGTTTTATGCACTGATGAAAAACTTTGTTTATATATTCTTTCAGTAGGTATAGCAGGTTCTGGCTTCAGGCAGGTTAGCAGCCCTGATAGTGATCTGCTTCAATTGCAAATGCAAATCCCACCTTTTTGAAACAACTCATGTAAAAAAAAAAAAATAAAAAAAACCCAAACAAACATGAAAATGCTTCTAATGGGGGGAAAAAAAAAAAAAGTTTAGACAAAAAAAAGGGTTTGGTTTGGTTTTTTTGCATAGCTCTTCTAGCTATTCAAGACCTTTCTCTGAGTTTTTAGGTTTCAGCTATTACATGTGTTCTCTACTGGAAATTGAAAAGGAAAAAAAATCTGTCTAGCATGGGGCCAGAAATTATATCAAGATCATCTGGGTTTATGGGAACCTAATAGATTTATGGCTGATGTATTATCATCCAGATGTCCAAGGTGCTACTGAAAGCCCTGGTATCCCACTGAACCTATTTCCATTTAGCCTAACAGGAATATGGCTCCTATCCTGTTCAGTGAGGTTTTTGAGACTACCATTACTGTCACCTTCAACCCTGCAAAGGCTTTTAGTATGTCCACAGAAAGCAAAAACTCAGGAGCAGAATTGGGTACAATGGAGAAATACAAACAGTCTGTGCCCATCCTGAGGTTGACGGGAGTGCTGGTTCAGGACGGAGGGATTTTAAGCAGTGAGGAAGAACCATTTTGTATGCTGGGGATGCTATGGCAGCCTTGAGCCAGGTCCTGCTGGTCAGTGTGCTAAGAATTGAGGAATCCTGCCCCTGCACTCTGCTAGGATGCTGGATCTGGTACAGGCATTGACAGTTGTTCCTAGTGTGCTTTCAGGAGATGCTGGGATCCTACCCCTCAGCCACAGGGAACATTTACCCATTTTCTAGAGATTGAAGAGTCAAGTTACAAGACATACAAGTTATTTTTTCTAATGCAATATATCAATGATGAACTATTAATAAATGAGCTCAGAACATAAGTGTATTTCTACTTCAACTGGGACTTGCTTTTAAATGAGCGGATAGGTTGCCTCAGGCATCTAATATAGGGATTTTTTTTTTGCCAGAAATAGGCCTGTCCAAACAGAGTGGAAGCTTAAAACTTCACAGATTTCATAGCAGGAAGGTGACGAGGTGGATAATGTGCCTCTCTTCAGTTTATATCCCTGCTAGCTTTCCTGGGAGCCACAAATGGCACCTGCAGCCTGCAATGGCATTTGAAAGCACTGGGCTAAAACAGTGTGCTAAACATCCAGCTCTCAGGTTGGCAGAAGTGGTTGCCCCAGCACCCAGGTGTGGCAGAGGGCTCCACTACCTCACAGGCACACACTTCTGCAACTGCTGGCAGGAAAACTGATCATGGTGTTGGGCAATGGTAGAAGTTTGTCCAGGCTGTATCTTGCTGATGAACTCAGTGTGTCACATCAGCAGAAGCAATACATCCGACTGGCCTCAGTCTGGCCTGGTGGTGTGAACTGCTAAAGCCCTTGGTCCTGTGCATTGTGCAGGTAGGTGAATTTGAGTCCACAATTTTACCTTAAAGCATGAAGTATTCCAGCACAACTGGATGATGCTTTCTGCTGATTCAGTAACTGTGTCCAGGGCAGACCTACATTACAGCCCTGTGCCTCTTGAGTGTAAGGCAAATAATGCCTGATGAAGAATGCAGGAGGTTTTCTTTCCATCAGTTGTGTTTTAATGCTTAAATCTCCTGTAATGTGGGATAATCCCACAGGCAGTCCCAGGTTTACATGTTTGGTCAGCTCAACCATGTAACTCCCAATCCCTTTCTATCCCTCAGTTTAGCTTCCTTTGTTTTCAGTTTTGATTTATCCAGCTGACATTCATCTCTCTTATGTTTGTTTGTTTTTTTTTTTTTCCCTTTTTGTCTTTATACAGTACTTTACCTACAGTGTCTTATTGAGTCTCCTGGCCTGCTCTGTGTTCCTTCAGATCAGCTGCATTGGAAAACTGATCCTTATGTTAATCATTGAATTTATATATGTTCTCGTTGTGGAAGTGCCAGGGGTCAACCTTTTTGACAATGCAGATCTCCTGGTTACAGCTAACACCTAGTAAGTGCCTTTCACTTCTGAAATCTTCACTAATTTCTTTCACCCCATGATTTCAGTGTGGCATTAGGTGGACAAGAGAGCCGAGGCTGTGGAGCAAGCAAGGGAAGTGCATGATGCCAGAGAAGGAATGGCTGTAAACTGCAGGCTTTGTCATGCTGCTCTCCACCTCTGAAGAGCAGGAGAACACAGTTCTCTTTAAGGTCTTTTTAATGTGGAACTTGACTAATGAGCTATCTATTAATAATGAAATTTAACTGGATTCAGAATGGATCTGTATTTCTTTTTATTCCAGAAATGGGAAGTTTTAGTCATTCTCACTTCTTCTGGTATTACACTCCCAATATAGAAATGTCATTTTTCAAATAAGAAAAAAGAAGCCTCCAGCAGACTTGAGCTGGCTCAAGGATGTGATAATGAACCACTGAGATGTTCAGACATCAGGCTGGGTTGTCGGAATGGTGGTGGTTGATGTTTGGCTAGTGATCTCCTGACAGTTGCTGTTGAGGACTTGTCTGCATTTGAAAAGCTTGTATCACAGCAGGTCTCACCACAATTCCCAGCAGAAGGGCCTGGGCTAAGTGGGACCAGACAGTTCCCTCGGACCTACAAACAGTAGTTTGTCATCACCAAGTCACATATGGTGGCAGCCTCCTTCAAGTGACATGGTTACCCCTCACCTGAAGGTTATGCCAGGGAGAGAAATTTGGCAAGTCTGCAAACCCACCCTCCTCCACAAGTTTCATTTCTTACTGGGAGCTGTGTTGTTTTGTTAACTATTTGTTTTGATTATTTCCCCTTTTAGGCAATGGTTGTACTTGAATGTGAGTCAATTAGAGCATGATGGTGTCTAAAGGTGAACATGATGTTAGGATGTATAATAAGGAGAGCTGCCTGTAAGATATGAGTAGACCATTACTCTGCTGAGGAGTGGGAAGCTTTAACCTGGAATATGTTTTCTAGATTGGGGCAAGAAGGCAGTTCACAATAATGGAGAAGCCAGAACAGCAAAACCCAATGAGAAATCTAGAAAGCACCAATTTAGGTGAAACATTTGTCAAGGATGATAGCTGTAGTTGCTCCTATCTTGGACAGAAGAGTAGCTGAGAAGATTCCCATTGTCCTTCCCAGTGCCCTCTTACATGTTATAAAATAGCTTGTGTAGTTGCTCAGATTTCTTGATGGTCATTAACCCCTTCAGGCCAGATGCACCTGATTACTTCTGTCCTCCACATAAATATTCCATTATTTTAGCATTCCTGTGTTCCCAGCAGTAATTAATGGAGGTGTGGCTTTTACTGCAGTTTGGAGTAATCAGTTAAAGTATTTTAACTCAGAGGAATGAAGTTGTGTAGGAAGCTCCATGCAGCTTTTTGTGGAGGTATGGGGAGAATGAGGTTTCCTTCCTTTTTTATTTTGCAGATGTTATGTATTCCAACAGTGGAAGCTATTTAGCATTTTCTAACACAATTAGAGAAAGAAAAGCATTTTATATCCCAAATATCATTTCATTCTTGTAATTCAAGCACTAAGCCAAATTACAGCACTTAGAAGTGTAATTTATGTCACTTCACAATCAAAATGTCAGTAATAAAGTGGAGAAGGTTAGCATGTTTTCCCAGAAATAGCTTTTTGTGATGCTGTATTATCTCTCACTAAATGGTATCTGTGTTGTCCAGAGAGCTCCATGGACAGCTATTTCTTGTCTCAGGGTCTGGCAATCCATTTGTGTGTTGTGGGAAATGGGAGCTCAGCATGTAGCACATAGTTCAGGGATGTACCTTATTGTCCAGCTGATATTAAAAAAAAAAAAAACAACGTGACCTAATACCACTTTAATTGGATGCCTGTTGCAGCTCCATAATTAGTGTCTGCTCTGCAGCCATTATGTCTCTGATTAGGTACTCTGACTAATTAGAAGTGATGCAGATGTCACTTCACACTTCTGTGTACAAACCAGCCCAGCATGCAGGCAACTGAAAGGCTGATTACAGCACGTTGGGAGATGCTAGACTTGACTGCAGTGGCACACCAGCATGGTGACACATGGAGAATAACTGGATGCACAGAGCTACTATCATATTACCTTTCCCCTATGCAGAAGGTGAAACTAATGCATTAATTTTAAAGATGTGATGGACCGGTGTGATCTTCTAAGTGGAGCTGCTGCAAAGGGGAGCCCAAAGAGCTTTACCCAGTGATTTCACCATCAAGCCCATCAATCCTGTTTGAGGTGTGGTTTTAGAGTGTTGTCCTTGGCATCGTGGCTGTGAGAATGGAGGAGCTCCTGTCCTATGGGAGCTGTCCCCAAAATCAACCACCTTTCCTGCTAAAAATGTGCACTTAATTTGAGCAGGAGTGTATTTAGCAAGCTTCTCTCTGTGTTTCCTTCCAGTAATTAAAAAGCCATCTGCTACTGGAAGTGTCTGTCCCACGGGGGAGCAACCTACCAATGTAACACCATTATTGCTTGCACTGGGCTTTTTCATGTATCCGAAGTGTCAATGTGAGTGCTGGGGTTGCTCCATTACAGAGTCTCTGTTGTTGCCGCTAAGGTTTTCTGGCGAGCGCAGCACCCACAGTGAGCTGTAGCCCCAGTACAGACGTGCCATGCTCCCACCATAAGAGAGTGACAGTGGGGAGCAGCCAGTCATCCTGGGACAGGTAGTGATTTAGGGGAGTAGGGGAATCATGCTGCATGTGGGCAAGCGTCTCCAGCTAGGTCCAGCCTTTAGTGTGGGAGTCACTGTCTCCAGGATTCCCAAAGCAGCTCCACATCTCAGCACACATGTTCATGATGGAGCTGGCCAAGAGCCACGCAATAGATGTGCAAGACAGTGATGGGTTGCAAAATCCATGTCAGAGAAAATTCCATGCTCAGAGCTGCAGAAAATGTCTTGGAACAGACAAGGTTAGAAAGTCACTATGTTTTTGTTTTTTGATTTTATGCCCAGTTAGGCTCCCTTGGCTATTTCAATTTTGATGATTTGTTTCTCTGATTCTGTAGCGAGATTCCCTCCAGCCTCAGAAAACTGTGGCCTGAAGCTCTCAAGACAGCTGTGAGATTCTTAGGCTAAAGATGTGTCACATTAGTACCATGCAAAGCTGTAATTGCATCAATGACACTACAGTAATTTTACCACTGATATCTTTCTTTCAATTTAAATGTTTTTTTGAAAGATTCATGTATGTGGTTCTCAGCCACCTAATACTCCACCCACACTTGAGAAGAAACCCAGCAGCATTAAACAATCAATCAGTCAGAAACTCAGACAGCTACTATCTACCAGAAAGCTCCTTCCCATCCTTTCACTGTAAGAAAAGTACACCCTCCATCTTCTCCAGGACTTCACACTTGGGAGTATTGTGAGTAGTAACAGGAATCCCCATGAGGGTTTTCTTCAGTGTGCACGGTACTTGTAGCCAGGCACAACACTGGAGAGGAGCAACGTGCAGAAGCAGGGAGTAGTGCTGGAGTTAAAGGAATTCAGCACATCTCCATGCTACAATAAATGGGGAAGAGAGGAGCTATGCCTCACAAGATATATAGCCCAAAGCTTCCTTCTTTAGATCAAATTTTCCAGCCTGACCTAATGAAATAGTGACAGATGCACAAGCATTTGCTGAGCATCCCACATTGACATTAAACCCCCAAATGATTCTGTCTCTTGATGCTTCTTAGGTATTTTAACCACATTAACCATGTTGCACCATTACTCTGTATTTTAGCATGTAGCTCAGACAACCTTTTTCCTCCTTTCCCCCATCTTTTTGTAGTTCTCCGATTTAAAAGAGCTATAGCCCCACACAGTGTTAGAGGTGCCACATTGCAGAGGTGCTGTCGAATGATGTGCAGGAGGATGAGTGCTGGAGAGATCCAAACTCTACTAACCTTTTGTTTGTGGCTTTTTTTTTTTCAGCGTCTCTGCGAATGCAACGTTATCATGGTGAGTCACTCGGGCATGAAGTATTTTTATGGGTTGTTGTTGGTAGGCATTTTCTGTTCACAAGGTGCAATATCAGCATAGGGACTCACTGGCAGTGTCTGGTATTTGATGATGCACCGCTGCGAGCTGGAGCAACACGGTGCCAAGACCTCAGTGCACTGAGCGTGGCCCTTTTGTATGTACAGCTACTCTCAGAGCAGCCTCTCTTCTGTGGGACGACTGTCAGCTTGCCTTACAGAGCCTCTCATAGAGCTTACTTGTGATTACAAGTCAAAGATATTATCAAAATAATATTTTCATGCTGTGTAACTAATTCAGATTTAATCAGTTTTATTTGCTTGCTTGTCAGAAGGGATGGGAATGTTTCTTGGTGCTCTTTTCATCTTATGGAGTACTTGCAAAACAAAGGCCATTAAAAAGTAACTAATTAGGGGAGCAGTAAGTGTAGAACAGTTCCAGACCTGGGAGGCTGGGGAAGCCAGTGTGGGAGATGCAGTGAATACAGTCTGAAGAGCTGTCAGCATTTCGGGTTTGCCAAGCATAGTGGTGGCTGAGCACATATGGCTGTTCTCAAAAAAAAAAAAAAAAAAAAAAGGCTTTTCTATTGATGTTAACCCTTTTTATGAAGTTAGATTAGATTTCCTATTTCAAAGTCCTGCTTTAGAAACCAGCACCTATGAGCCAAAGTCCTCAGCTGTTTGTAGTTGATGTTTGTCCCTTTACCACCATGTGCTTTGAGGGGAAGGAAAAAGCCTTGTCTTCAGAGGCTGGTTAGTCTTAAGGTGGAAACTGTGGAACACAGCTAAGCTGTTTTCTTCCATGCTGAGACTGTGGAATTCTTCTCTTTCATTGGTTGCAGCTCTCCACCAATGACACGAGTCGCGCTGAAGATTGTGACCCCTGTCATCATCTCTGTCTTTGTCCTGGCACTGTACTTGCATGCCCAGCAAGTGGAATCCACTGCACGGCTTGATTTCCTCTGGAAACTCCAGGTTAGTGGGGTTTGCTGAGTTGGAGGAATACACATAGTCACTGGTGTTAATATAAAACTGCTGAGCTAGTCACTGTCGAGTTGAGGAGTGTTATAAAGTGCCTTTGAATTTAATCTGATAGTTGCATATAAGTGGCATGCTAGTAATGCTCTGCTCTTCTTTGGTACTTTCCATATTCCTCCTGGCTCTTTACTTTAACCCCATGTTTCTTTGTAAATGGACTTTGGATGGTCCCCACAGTAAAGGGTTATAGATCTGAAGATCAAGACTGATTAATTTGGGCAACTGAGACTGTCACTCTTGCAGGAATCTGTAGTATAGCACAACTTGTAAATCTAAGAAGCTCATATTCACTGCTGAATTGTTTCCCAGAGTTCAGTGAGCTTTCATTTACTGTGCTTAGGGGTGTGAAAGATTTACATTTGTATCTTCATTCACTTTCTTGTTAAGCTGTGGGAAGTGGCTTGATACCCTTGGATAGCCAATGGATAACCTTGGATATCCTTGTATAACCAATACACTACAGATAACACCACACTGTGCTCCTATCCCTGGGTTCAGTGTTGATGTTTTCACTACTTGTGCCCACGAGTGATGTTGGGTTATTGTATATGGTTCTCAAACAAGCAGGACAGGTCTCAGCTCTGCCCAAGACTCATAGCTGGGGGACCACAGGACTGCAGATTTCAAAAGGGTTTTTTACCCTTTGGATGGCAGGACATCATTTTGATAATAAGTCTCAGTGGTTTGAGTCAGAGGCACTGAGGAAAGACCAATTAATTGAAGCTCCTTGAGAACTAGATAAACATTTCTTCTGTTTCTGTCCTCCCTGCAAGTTCATTGTCAGCTTTTTGTTCCCTCTCCAGAGCAGTTGGCAAAAGAGTAAGTACATCACTGTCTCTCCCTCCTAAACTAGGCCACTGAGGAGAAAGAAGAGATGGAGGAGCTGCAGGCCTATAACAGACGCCTCCTCCACAACATCCTGCCCAAGGACGTGGCAGCCCATTTCCTGGCCCAGGAGCGGCGGAACGACGAGCTGTACTACCAGTCCTGTGAGTGCGTGGCTGTCATGTTCGCCTCCATTAGCAACTTCTCCGAGTTCTACGTGGAGCTGGAGGCCAACAACGAGGGCGTGGAGTGTCTGAGACTGCTCAACGAGATCATTGCTGATTTTGATGAAGTAAGTCACAGAAAATCTGGAGGGACAGAGCGAATCAGATTATTAAGTTTAGATGGGCTTTGATGAACTCCTGCAGGAAGGTGGCTTATTGAATCCTGGTGCCATGGTTCATTTCTCCTTGCTCTAGGAGTTTGTTTGTTTGTTTGTTTGTTTGTTTTCTTTCACATTAATATCTCTTCTATTCCCTTGTTGCTCCTCCAAGTATCTAATCCCCTTTCTTTCTGTACTTGGAGTGGTGGAGGCTCTGTCCAGTACTTTGTAGTGCTTGCAGCAAGGGAGGACGAGTGGCAAGGACATTACCAGCATGTACGTGTTCATCAAGGCTCATTTGCTTGTTTTGCTCTTGTGAAACAGATAATAAGTGAAGACCAGTTTCGGCAGCTGGAGAAGATCAAGACCATTGGCAGTACGTACATGGCTGCGTCGGGCCTCAACGATTCCACTTACGACAAGGAAGGGAAAACACATATCAAAGCTCTGGCTGATTTTGCCATGAGGTTAATGGACCAAATGAAATACATTAATGAACATTCATTCAACAACTTCCAGATGAAGATAGGTAAATGTCACTGTATCTACAGGATTAAGTCTAGGTAGTGGTCATTCCGAGCTGGGGATTTTATGGACAGTAAAAGCCATAGATGTTACCTTAGCTGTACGGTTAATTGTCTTGTGTCTGGTGACTGCTTTTGCCTCTCTGAACCATCAGAGCAGTTTTGTTAGGGTAGCAGCATTATTATTGAAGCTTCCTGGAGAATTAGGAGCAGTTGGACAACCAGTCTTGGCACAGAGAAGCTCCTACCACAACATGATCTCACATGGTGACTGATTCTCTCCTGTGATGTGCTCCCTGGCTCTCCCATTCTTGGACATTAAGTTGTCTTTCAAGTCAGGGAATAAAAGGAGACAGAAAAGTCCAAAGGAGAAGAAATGTGAGGATGAAGTGTGGTATTTGTTCTGGACAGCAGCTGGGCTGCTGCTTCACAGAATGCTCAGTCCTGCAGCAGCTGTGTGCTGACTTCCAAGTGAGTGGTTTGCTTGGCAGCCAGCTAGCAAATAAACCTTATCCTGTTATCTGGTATTGGAAAGTAGCACTGGATTGAGCAGATCCAGCCTGCGTTGCCAGTCAGACAAGTATAATGGATCAGAGAAGCCAACTTTTCTTTGAAAGTTTATTTCA